TTATTTCATTCATTTCACCAATGAATTATTCTTAAAATTCACAACTTCAGACATTTTGTCACTCAGCGATTTACAGGCCCCTTATCTTTAAAACATCAGGGATCAAACAGAGACTCATGATTTACCTCCCTCTCTGTAGTTCCAGTATCCATAATCCAGTTCATTCTCCTCGCTGGCTGCGCGGGCCCCAGTTACCATGGCAACCACCATCAGCAACACCAAAAGAGAAGGAGGGGCCATGACGAGCTGACACACACCCCACTTTAAAAAAAAAAGAGAAAAAAAAAAGAAGAAGAAAAGCGGAAAAAACAAACCTTCATTTGTGTTAATGGAGAGATTAATAAAAATCAGACAGAGCATCAGATGGAAATGAAAGTAATGAAACACAGGCTTCATGTGCACTCATGTGACTCAGCAGCATACACATGTGCACACACATCTGTATCCAGTGGTGGAAAGTAACTCAGTGTATTTACTCAAGTACTTGAGTAAGTATGAACTAATTGAGTTTTTAAATTTTCTGCCACTTTGTACTTTGTACAACTCCATTTATTTAATAGTTGTTACATGTCACTTTTCAGATTTTATATACATAACATACAGTAGTTTGTTAAATAAGATGCATCATTATAAATTAAACTAACCTGCTGTTTATAACGCTTTTAAAATGAGATCAAACTGTAAAGTGCTGCTAATGATGGATATAATAATATAACAGTTATATATGATATATATACAAAGATAACATACAGACACACTTATATCTACAAATACTCATATATATGTGAATTAAAAGTAAATATAAGCCTTTGCAGGAGAGTCAGAACTCAGTCAAGACCTCTACATTAAATAAAATGATAAAGGAAGGAAAGGCAATTGCAAAACAAAGAAAAAGAAACAATTGGGAAATATTGTACTTTTGACTCCACTACACTAAGGCTATTTGACAGTTTCACCAACTTTACAGATTTAGATTTGACACAAAACGTGTGAAATGTAGATTACTGCAGATGATCTCTACTTTTACTTAAAACTAAGCGAAAATGCTGTTTACAAATTGATGCATATATGATAGTAATACAATAACACAATAACACAGTAACATAACGCTCCAGAAAGGACCATCCTTAATATTCAGAGCTTTAGTTTTAGTTTCTACTTGTTGCTTCTTCTCCAGTATGTGTACTGAGGTTGGATTTTAAATAGAGGACTTTTAGTTATGATGGAGCATATTTCACATTGTGTTATTTCTTCTTTTGCTTGAGTAAAGTATTGAAAACTTCCTCCACCACTGTGTGATTGTCTTTGTACAGGTGGTAGAGGAGCCTTCAAGACTTTAAAGCCATCAGTAGATCAATAAATAAACACTTTGATTACAACTACACTTGATCAAGGGACTGGTTGTGAGACAAAAAGTCTTGTGACCTGTTTAACTTAAAAAAAAATCCATTAGATCTGAAGGAAACAGCCAGTATGACTAGTCATACTGGCAAAATAAAGCAAGTTTTTCAATCTTTCTTTTTTTTTCTTTTTTAACACTAATCCCATGACTCCAGGTTTGAGTGGAAAAATCATACAAAATAAATAAATAAAAGAGAGGATGTGAAGAGAGGAGACCAAGAAAAGAGGACAACTAAAAAAAAAAAGCAGGATTACATCCATATGACAAAGTCTGTGAATCATACTGGACAATACTAAGCCAATGACTCATTGTTGAGGTATTAAACATGTTTTCAGGGGCTAAAAATTTGGAGGCTGATCAAAGGCACAGTGAAAATTAGCTGAACAATAATCTGAAACAGCTTGTTCCACATCTGGTAAAACACATCAACAACACTGAGAAATCAAACGACAAACCAGTGTCCCTCTGCTGTGATGATGCAATGATTATATCTGTAACTTTGCAGAAACCACACTTCACTGGTAGAAGTACCACGAGCTGGAAACATGAAGAATGAGCAAATGAGTCGATACTCACGAGTTGAAATGATGATGATGATGATGCTTCAAAGTCTCAGCAGGAAATCCTTCGCAGAGACAGTTTGAATAGCAGATGCCTCTGCTTCCCTCGCCTCTCCACTCTGTCACTGCCCTGGTCTTTTCCTCTTATTTCCTCCCCTTTTTCTCTTATTTTCTCTGATGCTTTCTCCACCCTCAGCTCACAGCTGTAATCTAATTATGAAGAGAGTGTAGCACGTCCAGAGCAGAGAGGCTTAAAAAATTCTTCATTTGTGGAGAGCTGATGTTGTACCTTTACACCCCCAACACACACACACACACACACACACACACACACACACACATACACACACACACACACACACACACACACACACACACACACACACACACACACACACACACACACTATGACATCCATCTGCTTCCAGATGTGTGGAACATCCTCTTATTTCATATTATTTACCTTTTGTTTTTGGTCTCTCCTCCTCTTCACCCCTCCTCTTTATGGAACAAACAGGTATATGTATGTCAGGGGCTGCGCTCTGGCTGTGCTACAGGATCGAGTTTCTAAAGTAATGTACTATCTTCTCCTCAAAACTTGAGTTATGGACCTTTTTCATCTGTGTCTGCTTCCCACCATCTGCCCTTTACCCTCACAAAAGCATTGCAGCTCAGAGCCTCTACGCACCTTCCACAACACTTAATTCTTTTCGAATTCTGCAGGTGAGATAGAGAAAATATGCTTCTTTAAAATAATGTTACTACTTCAGCATTGCAGAGGTATTATATTATAATATTGCATTTCAGTATTTTCTTTTGAAAGCTGTAGTCACACTGCTGATCAGGATTTATATATGACAAGTTACTTCAGTTCTTCTTCAATTCAGTTTCTTGGGGAATGAGAATAATAGAATAATAATAAAAAAAAAAATTCTTAGCTCCTCCCCCAGTTACATTGAATGGTGTCAGTCATAACAATTCAAAAATATTTACACTTAGATATACAGTTTAATCTACGTTTTAAGTACTTTTACTTTTAATACTTTATTTAAGTAAAAATAGCGTGACTGTAACACATTACAAAAATACTCAATAACCACTAAAAGTCCTGGGTTGACATTTTACATTAGTAAAATTACAGAAATATTGGAAAAGATAGCAGGTAATGGTGATGCTACTAATGACTTTATATACTTTGTAGTATATAATATATATGTGATATATAATTGGTGGAGAACAAGTAAAAAATTACATTTACTCAAGTGTTGCACTTAAGTACAATTTTGAGATTCTTGTACTTTACTCTCCATTTTCATTTTATGCTACTTTATACTCCTCTACATTTCAGAGACAGATGTTGTATTTATTTCTCTACTATATTTATTTTAAGGCTTTAGTTATTTTGCAGTTTAAATTATCAATGAAAAATATAATCAACAAATAAATGATGATGTATTATTCTAGATTAAGGTTCCCAGCAGCTACAATCAGCCCCATGTAGACTACATGAATGTATCACTAATTATAAAATGGGCCATTTTGCACTACTGCTACTTTCACTTAAGTAAAAGTATTTCTTCCACAACTGCTTCACAGCCAGTTTAATGTATAACAGTTCTCATCTGTATATAAATTATGACTATAGCTGTAACATAAGTGTAGTGGAGTAAAAGGTACCATATTTTCCATATGAATAATAGTGGAGCAGAACTATAATGTAGGATACAATTGAAATACTTGAGCAAAGTTAATCAAAATTGTAGTAGGCTACACTGTTGAAAGATTAGTTGCCTTCCCCTATAGTTCACCACTGGAGACTTTTATTTTGTAGAAAACAACCTGTTTTCTATTTTACTCCATCTTAAAAATATCACTGAGGCCCTTTTCACTTGTATTTAGAATGATTAAATTTGTAGGTGCATTTAGGAGGATCTGAAAGTGTGCTGTGCTTCTTTCAATCTGAGTGCTCATCTATCTGTGTTTTTATATTTAGTAAGGATTTGGATACTTTACTCCCCAGGAAAGAGTGGAGATAAGGAGTGTAGGAGATGGGATGAAAAAAAATGGAATGAATTATTCTTTATTGACTGGCATCCAGATGTTATTCCAGCTCTCGCTCTCTGCGTCTGTTTTCATGCTGTGGCTGAGGTGAGGTCAGAGTTGGCCATCAATACAGCCAGAAAGAAAATGGTGAAAAAGTCAAGTGAGGAGGCAGAGAGCAGGGAGGAGACGTAAAGGCAGAACGAAAAACAGACAGACAAATGGGGTTAAATAATGATAACCGCTGCGCTTCAACATCTGTGTGCTTCTCCTGGCAGAGTTACTGCGGTGAAGAAGTCACACCACCAGCCACAGCTGCTTCACATTAACAACAGGCAATTTGTCACCTTCAGCTGAATTCCAACTGCGCACACACACACACACACACACACACACACACACACACACACATGCACACATACGCACACACACAAACACACACACACACACGCACACACACATGCACACACACAAACGCACAATACTTTCTCCCTCCCTGTTTGAATCTTTCCCTTCTACTGCCTTTAAAAAACCACATGACGAGGAGTGCGCTTGTGGCTCACACTTTTATTTCTCCAACACTGTCTCTCTGTGGAGGAAAGCCAACATTGCACTTCACTTCACATCTCCAGCCTGATGTCGCAAAAATAATGCAACCAGAAATACTCCCTCTTAACACACACACGCACACACACACACACACAAACACACACACGCACACACACACACACATACACAATCACACACACACACTCACACACACACACACACACACACACACACACACACACACACACACACACACACACACACACACACACACACACACACACACACACAAACAAATACACAAAGCAAGTTAGGGACTGTCTTTGTACATTTCTCTTTGCTACTTCTGGCTTTACCCTTCTGGTGTGCATGTGTGTGTATGTTTTCAGGTTTTAATTTTAAATTTCACGACTCAAACATTTGTAAATTTGTAATTTTTTTATTTGTGCTCTGGCCTCTTTAGTGTCCTCAACATATGAATGTCCAGAAAAACAGCCAACTTACGTTTTGAGGAAGTGGCTTTAGCTAGAAAAGAGGAAACCCAACACTGCATTTTATGCACCAGGAGAAATTGAGAAACACTGAGTTGATACACGGAACAAACTTGTAGAAGAAGACGATAAACACCCCTCAGTAAACCCCCAAACAACAACATGGACTCTTTTGGAAGACTTTTCTTCATGCTGACTTGGATATTCGTATTCCTCTTCCCTTCTGTTTGCTCGGGAATGGATGCACCAAGTAAGCCATCCAAACTAGGTTCAGATTGACATATTGTATATTTGACTGACATGTATCAAGTTGTACGAGTGCTCATTAACTTTTACAAAGTATAATTTTTGAATTGTTTGCAGCCAGAGTTGTATTTGTTTCTTTAGCTTCATATTAACCGCAACTTATGTTTTCATTTTCATTATCAATTATTTATGGTTTAGTTTTGTGTCTAGTAAAGTAAAAAAAAAACACAGTGACCCAAAATCCAAGGTAAAGTGTTTAAATTGCTTGTTTTAAAACAGATACTGAGTGTATAATGACAGAGAGAAATACAGAAAATCCACACAGTTGTGTTTTTGCTTAATCATTTGATTATCAAAATTGTTGCAGATCCAACTTCATCTGATCGACAAATTGATAAATCGACTAATCGTACCAGCTCTGATATTGACCCGTAGGTTATGTCCCCTCACAGAGTTATCCCTGGAAACCAGAGTCTTTGTGGCCCTTGCAGATGAAAAGCTCACAATTAAATGTAACGTGACAAAACCAGCAAACCAAACTAAAGACAAGATGGCCTGCTACGATCTTCACCACAACATGATATATAACTGTGTCATTGAAGCGACGGCTGGAAAGACTACTTTTATTCCACTGACATTGCATGTGGGACCCCTGAACGTTTCAGGAGAATACTATTGCCAGTATCAAACATTAAAGGCGTACTGGTTTCTTCGAGTGAGAGGTGAGTAACAAAAGAGGACAGTGTGAATGGAAGATAAAACTGAAAAGGATTTTTAGGGCAGTGAAGTAACAGTAAAGAATTACAACTAAAAAGACATTGTGATATAGATAAAACATATTCAATTCTTCAGTTCTTTTTTTGTTTCAGATTTTCAAATTAAAGGTGATAACATGGTGTGATCTTCCAGTAAAAGACTTTATCTCGAGTAAAAAATACATTGGCTATGGCCTCACTAATGACTGTGTAATCATATCGCTTAAACAAGTAGAGTCTTTACATAACTGTACAGAGAAGTGGTTCCCAGCCTTTGGAGCAAATGGAAGTCTGATTTGGTGCGATTTGCCAAATAATTAAATAAAAGTGGCGGGACAGGCAGATTAAGGTGTAGTACGCTTTGTACATTGAGTCGTCCGACCACGTGTGAAGGCAAAAGTGTTTATGGCTGTGATCAGTGGCAACACTTGAAGGTGGGGTGAAATTAGGGTAACAACAAACACAGAACAGAAGTTGAGTTAAAAAAAAAAGAAGAGCCTAAAAGATTAGCTCAAAACCTGCTTACATTCTCACCTCCGCATAGCTGCGAAATTGCAGCATAAAGTGGGTATGAATGTCGAATTGTCTGTTTTGGAAAGTAAAAGGTCAAAAGAGGAGAGCAGGAGGAGAAGAAGATTATCATTGTATTTTTTTTTGGATTCCTCTTTTGTATGTCCCTTGCAACCCTGTCTTCTAGAAATCATGTTTCTATACAGCTAAACTGCAACAGCAAATACTTTTTTGGTAGGAAACATAATCGCTGGCTGGATTATGATCACAGGCAACGTATTTCTGAATGAATGAAGTGTTTCATTTAGTAATAGCAGAGGCACCAGGAGGTGGTTGGGGTGGGTATCACATCGTACAAACCAAATGACTGTGAAGATTGTGGTTGTGGTTAAATTTAAATAAACATTCAGTCTGAAGTCACTGTGAACTTTTTCTGTATTAAATCAAACCACGATCTTTCACTGATCTTAACCGAGTGCTGTGAGTGCCCAGACATAACCATACCATAGTTTAATAATGCTGTAGTCGCTACAAATGGAAAATAGGATATTTTGTGAGAAAACATATATGTTGTCTCTGAACATTTTACTGATAGGCTACATTCAGTATCGACGTATTTGTGACTTGCTAAACCTGTAAATTGTATTTGTTTCCTCATGACGTTGATAAGAAACGTAATCTGGTCGCAATTATGTTTCGTACAGAGCGTATTTGCTGTTGCAAATTAGTATATAAACATGAATTATTGACACAAACAAAAAAAACAAAAGTGCTGCTTGGCATGAAGTCTATTAAATTGTTAGATAAAGTTGTAGGCTGATTATTTACACAATGTTTACTCATGAGCAAGCTATTGGTGATTTTGTGAGCATCAGCAAGCCCATGGAGGGCAGGCTGTGAAATTTGTTTGTCTCCAGTGGGTCCTCCTTGTTAGTACGGAAATGAGTAGTGAGCCCAAGCATCCAGTATTTCCCAAGAAAAACCCCCGGAGAAAAATCCGAACAAATAAACATAATTTTGTGTCACAGAGACGTATGTTTTTCTTTCTCATCCCTTTAATCATTTTGTGACCATGTAAATTTATCTTGGCACTCAATGGAGTGTCCCAACCCCCATATTGGGAAACACTGTCAGATGCCAGAAGAAATTAGCAGACTGATACTGATGCTGACAAAATATCCAGTTGATTGAAATACATGCAAAAAGTCGATTGATCTTAAATATCTTTAGCCAGTGGATTAGTTGCTTCACAGATGAGAGCTTTCTCAGTCTACCTCTGCTGTCCAGTTATGGTGCATTCTTGGCACAGACACTGAACAGTGTGTGTTTTCCAGATTCCGGCTACACAGAACCTGTGATGTTGGATTACACAGAATTCATCGTACTGGCCTTCTTGACTGGTGTGCTGCTGGTTTTTAGCGTGATCGGATCAGTGTATGTCTTCAGAGGACATCCGGTAAGATGTGAGCTTCTCATGACCTGAAAGTTAAGAAACAGCAAGTCTTACATTACTAAGAATATTTCTTAATCACAGACTCAGACTGTGGTGTTATGAGGGACATGAGTTTCTGAAGCTTACAGCTAAGATTAGTTGATCTATCAATTCGTCAATTCACACAAAATTAATTAGCAACTATTTGGTAACTGATAAATCATTTAACTAATTTTTGTAATAAAAGTGCCAAACAATAGTCCCAGCTGCTGAGGATTTACTGCATTGTCTTATGTGATAGCAAATGTAATATCTGGTTGGACAAGATGTCACCCCAAGATTTAGGAAAATGTGTGAAGATGGGCATTTTTCACTATTTTCTGACATTTCATAAACCAAAAAATTAATCAACTGAGAAAAGAATTAGTAGAATTAGTAGAATATTCAATTAAGAAAATAATCATTAAGTGAAGTCTAAAATCATTCCTGGTTCAAGCATCAGATCGCCTCAGAGCTCAGGTTACTTAAGATAACATACTCCATGCTAAACTGAACTGAAGGAATTTTCAGGTTGAGCCCTGCACATATTTCAGTTGAAGTTGTCAGTGTTTTCTAGTGTGGACAGCTGATGCTCACCCTCCAGTCTTCTTTAAAGGTGTTCTTAACTAGAGACACATTTATTGCAGCCAATAGCTCTCTCACATCAGGTAGTTTTCCTATTACTCAGCTGTCACCAGGCCTTGTCTAAAAAAGAGCAAATTAGCAAACCACAAACTCAAAATCAAACCTTTGTAAGTAAGATAATTGAAAAAGTTTCGGAACGGAGTAACTGAAGCCTCACTGCAGTTCTGTGACTGCATCCTTCCTTAATGGTATTTATCTACACACTGATTCAGGAGAAAGTTCAGCCCTGGTCCTTTTGAATCTCATGGCACTGCCTTTGTCACAGTTGACCGTACAATACAACTAGATCGACTGGAAAACTGGCCTGGACTCTTAAATAGAGTCCTATCTTCAGGACAGGGACTACTTTGTCTCTCTCAGTAACCATGGACTCTACAAGGTAGCACACACTCACTGTTACTTCATCCTCTCAATTTGGCTGAGGTCTAGAGGCAGGCCTGCACTGACATCCAGCCGGATTATTTGGTACAAGTAGTAAAATCCATACATTTAATAAACTCTATATAACTCATAAAACTAAAGAGGAAGCAATACTGTGAGGTAAATACATCCGCTGTTCTGTTAGGGTTGGGTTAGTTAGTTGGGTTCTGTCTGATATATTGAATTGTTTTCAGAAAGAGCAGATTACTCAGTGTGGCGAAACAGGTGGAAAACGAAAGCAGAACAAAGAAGAAAGGAAGGCGAAAGAGACAAAGGAAGACAAAGTGGATGTAACAACAGCTCCATCTCTCTATGCTGTAAGCACTATACTACTCATCAGTGTATATACACAGGCACATTTCACTTGAATGAAATTGCATCATGTCATTTTTGTCCTCCATCACCCCTGCATTCATCAGTTCATTTTTATATTTTCTCAGAGTCTAGAGCCTCGGCCCAGGTCCATTTATGATGTGCTGGACCCCTCAGCTGCCAATGGAAAGTCAGATCAAGGGAAAGCTAAAGCCAAGAAGAACAAACCCGATAAAACAGTCAGTGCGAACTTTAGACGCTTTGTCACATTTTCTGTTATCAGTGGGAAACAATGACATGCATTTTGACACATGCACCTGTGTTCTACTTCCTCCACAGATGGGGCAAACCACACAACACCAAGATGAAGGCGTGTTTGAGTCTGTCTATGAGAACTTTTGAATCATAAATACATTTACGTATCCAGACTGTGATATTTATATCAGTGGCTAAGATCATGTCCATTTGCTTTGCTGTTTCATTGTCACCAGTTGCTAGTGGTAGAAAAAATATTTAGATTCTTTAGAAAGTATAAGTAAAAACCACAATGTAAAAATACTCTTGTTACATGTAATTTTGAAATAAAGATACAAAGGTGTTATTAGCAAATGTTCCCATTATACAGGCCAAATAACCTCTATCCGTGTTATATTATTGTGTGCCATACTGTTGGATTATTGTTGCATTATCATGTAACCAGCATTATAGTGTTGTGGCTTGTTGCAGTGGAGCTATTTCTACCGACTGTATTTACTGTTGGGAGGTTTAATTTACTGTATGAACTGTACTTACGTGCACACTACAGTAAATGTACTTTGTTAGTTTGTACTGGCTGTTTACGACTCCAGTAAATGAAAAAAATTCATATTTCCTTGTCACCTGTCTCAGTTTGATTTGGCTAGAAAACGTGATTTCTGTATTTTCTGTGACTCCTTATGTGGGCACTTCCCTCCCGAATAAGCGTCATATCTGCGTACGATGACCAATGAAATTGCAAGGTCTGGATTCCACGAGCCAATGCCAACGCTGATGTCAGTTCGACTTCCTGGTTTGTTTTGGTTTGTTTTGCTACATTGACAATGGCTGCAGAAGGCGATTTCCTGGCGAGATACCGTGCTGTGTCAAATAAACTAAAAAAGTAAGGCTATTAATCACAGTTATTCATTTTGAAAGAGGCGACAATATCAGGGATTAGCCTAACATTACTCGTCATTGATGTTACAGATGAGTTATACAGCCAGCGCTAATAAGCTAAGCTAACTGTTAGCCTATCTTTGAAGTCAGCGTTGTATATTTAACGCATTTAATGTAATTGTTAACGCAGATATCATGTTCATAGTTTTTAATTGTTTAGTCGGGGCTCATGAGACGCAGTAGAGAAGATGTTACGACGCTATTTGACAGTTAATGGTAATGTAGCTAAACATGGTCAGTGCTAGTTAGCTAAGCATATAGCCCAACGGTGCCTCATTCTCTTCAGCTCGATTTGACTAAACTTGATTTATGTTAAGATGGTATCTGGTTAATTGTAAAACCTTTAGAGGGCTGACAGTGTTGCATTTCTTTGTCGCAGACGTTTTCTGCGGAAGCCCAATGTTGCGGAGGCAAGTGAGCAGTTTGGTAAGTGCCAGTCTCATAACCTGCTGCTAAGCGTCAAAATTAAAGTGCTTGTTCAGGCTTTCTCTTATTGCTCCACCGTGGTAATGGGGAAAGTGTGTCATTAAGCTGTGTCTTGGCAGTTTGTTCTCATGTGCTTTTCATTGTGTTCTTTCAGGTCAGTTAGCCAAGGAGCTAAAGCAGCAGGACTGTTTGCAGTATGCTGCCTTCTGTAACCTGGCCATGGCTCGGTGAGAGGACTCGGTCCATTTCATGCAAACGCTATACTCATGTACTGTATGTAAAAGCTTGGCCACCCCAGGGCAAATGACATATTATGTTGACTTTTATTTTAGATAAAAATAAGTTAACAGTAAACAGGCATTAAAAATTTGTCAGTGTTAATATATTGTTACACTTTATTTTGTGAAAAAAAATATAAAAATAAGAAAAGATAGTAGGCATGTGCAAAAGTTTGGGCACCCTACTTGTCAATATGGTAAATCCCACTCCCCCTCTGCAGATATTGCAGTTTCCAAACACTTTTTGTAGCAGCTAAGAGTCTTTCTCTGCTTGTTTTAGGACTTTTCACCCACTACTCCTTGCGGTTCTGACATAGCTTTACGCTATTTTCGAGGCCCTGACCTCAACCCCATAGAACATCTTTGAGACAATATCAAACAAGACCATATCAGCCATCATCAATGGCCAACCTCATATGGGACCAGATCCCTGCTGCCAGATTCCAAGATCTTGTGGAAAACTTTCCCACAGAAGTGGAGGCGGTTACAGCAACTCATTAATGCCATTGGTTCTGGGTTAAGATATTCAGCACACCACATATGGGTTTATTGTTCAGGTTTCCACTTACTTTTGGCCATATAGTGTGCTCAAAGTCAAAGGGGTTGAGAGTGTTTCACAACAACCTCATCATGAACTCAACAAATAAAATAAAAAAAGTTGAACACAAGGTTAAACAAGGGTTGGTCTCAGCAGACTGTTACATTGTCATGTTAAATATTTAATAACCATTCATTTAGATAATCTCATAAAGGTCCAGTCCAGTGTGTTATTATTCCTCTCTAGTAATTCTTGTCCCTCACCATAAACCACCACAGGGTGACAGAGGTGTTGCTAATTGGTCCAGAGGGAGCCTGTATCATTCATAGTGGTGACATGTTAACATGTTCACTGGTGCATCTGTTGTTGTTACACATCCTGATTGTCTTGACTGCAGGTGTGAGCAGACTCTCTTTAACGCTCCTGGTGAGGCCTTGGCATTAACCGATGCTGCCCGCCTCTTTCTCTCATCTGAGAAGGAGAACAGAGCCCTGCAGGCCCCAGGCTTCGATGAGCACCTACAGGCTGCACTCAACTGCTACAGCTTTGCAATCAAGGTAGACTATGGTTCCTAGTTTCTGATGATATTTTCAGTGCGTAAAGTATCAGTTGTGCTCTGAATATATCTGGAAAATTAACGTAGTACTACATTAAATGTGAATTCTGGTAGTATTTGTATCCTGTAGGAAATTTTTTGTGGAATATATGAACAGATTAAGGGTGTGCAGAATAGATGTTGGTGTACATTCCTGTGTTGTGACCACATTGCTATAGAGACAGTACTTTAATGCTGCTGTACAAATGGCTTACAGGTGTACATTGAGATGAACCAGCCTGTGATGGCAGCCAGCCTGTGTCTAGAACTTGGCAATGCACTCAAGGTAAAACTCTGGATCAGAGCTTTAGGGTCTGAAGTCCCATAAATGACCTTGATTTTTGCTTCAAGTGTATGTATTTCATATGACATATTAATCTCAGCTCCTCCTCTGTCTTCAATAGGAGATGAACAGACCAGGAGAAGCTATTGTTCATTATCAGAGGGCTGTAGAATTGCAGACGCAGACACCAATTGAAGCGCTGCTGTCAATGGGAGAAATAGCCACATGTAAAATTCTCACCCGTGAGTTCAGTCTATCCATTCACATCTGATTATGAAGGAGATTTCAGTGTTTTTTTTGTTTTGTTATTTTTTCTTAACCTGCATGCGCATATACAGCTGTTATAACTTGATTTTCTGTAGTTTAAGCTCATCACTTTTGTTTCTACAGGTGACTATGACGGTGCTCTGTCAGTGTTCACAGAGATGCAGCTGATGTGTCAGGAGAGAGGACTGCAGCTACCAGGCACTAGCACCCCTGTTGGTGAGGCTGCGCATTTATCTACAGACTCTACCTGTTCAAAATCATCTCATGTGTGAACAATATGTTAAATGGATCCTCAGTGATACAGTTTCACAAAAAGGAGCTGCATGCAATATCTCAAAAACAAAATAAACAAAAAATAAAATTGGCATAAGAACATTTTGGTACTTAAAACTAGGATGGTTAAACAAACTTAAGACACAGATTCCGGGATCACTGTGTCATTGTCTATTTTAATATTATTGTTGCATTTTATTGGATTACACTGACTGGAAAACTATTGAATAATGTCCCTCGTCATTCATCTTATGTGTCTTCATTTCCCTAAAATTCTCCCAAGGTGCATTTCTGGACATTGTGGCAACATGTGAGATCTCCCGAGTACTGCTGCTGATGCTGCTTGAGGTAAGTATGTGTAACTGAAGCTTAAAATACACACTCAACGAGGGAAAACCATATTTTAAAAAGTATAAACAAAACCATTCAGCAATTATTCACTTCACTTATTAAAATCTTTATTTTTTGACAATGTTTTATAGGCAGTTGTGATGAAACGCTGTGAACCCTGTGCAAAGTACTTTTACAACAGATACACAGCAACATGAATGCCTGCCAATTTTTTTGTGTCAAACATTCATCAGTTGGTCAAAAGGTGAACTGGCAGAAAGGAGAGCAATTACATTTTAAGCATGAACACCTCCACATCAGCAACACAACAGAAGCCAAGAGTATTATCATTGTTTGACTGCTTTGATTATTTATCCCACATCTGGACATTACTTAACATAAGTCTTGGAAAGAAAATTTGGATAGTTTGTAGAGTAAGACATACATGACCATGCTGTTTTCCTGTGCAGCCTCCACCTCAGAAGTTGTTACCAGAACATGCACAGACCCTGGAGAGATATGCATGGGAGTCCTTTGACCCTCACAGCCAAGGTAAATACACCTCAATAGTTAATGATTTTAGAACAAACAAAAAAAAGTTAACATATTCTTTTGACTGGCAATTTACAAAACTGTATTATAAACACCGTGAGTGAGATTTGTTTGAAGTCATGTTAACATGGTACTTGTCCTCTCCTTCAGTGACTTTCCTGCCTGAGAATGTTTTCCTGCTCCTGCAGTCGGTAGTGGTGAGTGTCGTCATCCACATACTTGTACAGTTCACAGGATTTCCTGATCCTTCCTGACTCATACAGGAAAAATCATGGTCTTCATGGCCTTCACATGACAGTGATAAATGTGCTGGAGTTTGTCTTCATTTGCCAATTTTTTCTATTTGTAGCATTTGCATTTGTGTGTGTGTGTGTGTGTGTGTGTGTGTGTGTGTGTGTGTGTGTGATGAGACTTTTCCCTGTTTCCCTCAATGTGAGGCAGGCGATATTAATAGACGCTGATTGATGTTTATTCATGACTTAATCCCCTTAATAAAAAAAAAAGATTCTGTAAAGCAACTTGTTCTGGATGAGCATGCTCTATCCATGTTATTGGAGTGGTTAAAAGAGAGCATAAACATTGACAAGACTCCGAGAACTTGTCAAGGTTATGGTTTTATTTGTGCAGTGTTTTAACAGCAAATCTGTTTCGCAGATGGCGTGTCAGGAGAAAGACACAGAGTCCCTCAAGTCTCTTCAGACTGAGCTGTGGTGAGCATTTGAAAATGTTAATTTCCATCATATGATGAGACTTGCGCAGCATTTTCATTGCTTCTCGGGCTTAATTTTCCATATTTTTCATGTGTTTGCGGGTTTCTTCCCCCTCAGGCCGCTTCTGACGGCTGAGCAGAATCACCTTCTCCACCTGGTGGTTCAGGAGCGCATCACGCCGTCTGGCCAAGGCATTTAGTACAGTCCAGTTTTTACTCACTTCCTCTGGGAACGATACTTTATATAATGGAACATTCCTGTTTCTGACTGGGTCTGTTGTAAGGCCTGAAGAAGTGTTTTCAAAACTCTGGTGTTGAAACTTGCACTCAGACAAATGCACGTAATACATACAAAACTTTGCCCTTATTAAGCAAAGCCATGCAGATTTAGAAATCAGTCAATCTATTAGCATTGTCTAGTTGTGTGGGTTGTCCTTCATCACCCTGATGTGAAGATTTCTATCAGGATGCTAACTTAAGACTAAATTTAAATTATTTTCAACAATGTGTCCTCTTACTCGAGTGAAGGCTACAAAACTGGAACGATTCATACATATTTACTATGTAATAGTGACTGTTTTGGGTCTTGTTGTATTCACAGCAGTTTAACAGATGAAACATGAATGCCTTATGTTATTATTTGATTTATTAATAAATGATATGGCTTTTATTCCAATGTAATTACAAACAAAACTTTCTATTGTATAGCTCTGTGATATGGTGAAATGAAACACCATTGTCCTCCATCCCTGGTTAACTTTATGTTCACTTGTACAAATTGCATGTACTTTTCTTAAGATAGCAGCCAACTACAGACTTAAATTCAAACATGATTAAAAAAAAAACACTCCATACAAAATGTTACAAAAATATAATGGTTACAATGTACATAGAATAAAAAAGGATACACTATACTTCAGTTGTAAAATAATGATACATGATTAAAACTACTTGTACTGTAAATTAAGGCTTGTCTTTCCTGATTGTTCAAGTTCCGCAACAGGAATGTTGTAGTTTTAACAACATGCCGTACCTTCTCAGATACAGTATTTTTTTTTTTTTTCTCGACTCTGGAAACCTGCAGTAGTAGCTGTCAGCCTCACAATACGATTATACAGGATGATAAGTACTTTAGTCTTACAAAATATATTCAACTACTACATCTCAAAAGGGCTTTTAACAAGGGCATTACCCTTCTCACACCAACTATGTTAAGATTCCAAAAGCAGTAGTGTGACATTTTGGGATATATGCTTACTCGCTTTTTTGTTGAGCCTTAGATGAGAGAATCAATACCACTGTCATGTCTGTATGGTAAATATGAAGAACGCTAGTTTAGCTTGGCATAGAAACTGAAAAAAGGGGGTAACAGCTAGCCTGGCTCTCTCCAAAGCCAACTAAACTACCCATCATGACCAGTTCTAAAATTGCATTAATAGTTCTGCTCATAGCAACCCAGTAAAACCACAATGTGTACACTTCAAGCAAATAAAATGGCGTCTTCATTAAAAGCTCAAAAAATAATGGATCTTAAAGGTGTCAGTTGGCAGTGTTGCCCTTAGACAGAGCACAGCTACTCATTTTCCCCTGTTTCCAGTCTTTGTGCTAAGCTAAGCTAACGTGCTGGCTGAGTGTTCAGTGTGGTATTGATCCTCTCATCCTCTCCATTATTCTTGCCAAGAAAGCGAGTAAGAGTATTTATCAAAATGTCAAACTACTGGCCGTGGACTGAGTTCTTCAAACTTGTATGAAATTACCTTTAAAAGACATTGGAAATAATTGTTTTCTTAATTTTTTCATGGTCATAATGATATGAAATGTTTTTTTAGGGGTTGCATCCTCATAATGGCAATCATCATTTTGTACCTCATACTGCCCTACCCCTTTATAAAATATTGCTCTGTCCTCTTCTCACTTTAATCAAATGGAAATTTTAAGACTAAAAATTGTTCACATAAAGTTCAGCCCTTCATGTAATGTTAGCATGAGATCTATTTCCATTCATAACATTCAAATAGAAAAACAAATGGCTCTTGTTAGTGATTGAATACGACTCCCCATTTTCCTAGCTACAGATGTTGATCAACCGTCTTCAGGTTTTTACAAATTTTGAGGCAAATCCCATTCTTTAATTTCCCATATCCAAAGAAAAATGATCCCAGCCCTGCCCACATTCCTCTTATCCTCTCACTCACTCTTCTTCCGCAGGATGAGGTAGGTAACTGCTAAGAGTAAGGTGAAGACAAAAGAGATCCAGGCCAGGACATAGGAATGTCCGTACCCTCCTTGTTCTTTGATTTGAAGCTCAGCCGTGTAAATCGAGGCTGCTATCATTATACACAGGCCTGCAGGAGAGAAGAGGGGAATATTGTCACATGCGCCAAGACAAGGCAATTAAGAAGTAATTACTTTTCCTATTATGAGATAAAGCTCATGAACAAGGATTGTGTAGCAAACGGTTCCACTACGATCACAGTGAAATGAGAAACATGACAGTTTCACCTTACTAATTTTCCGATGATATAAACTCATGACAATACATGTCGAAATCCCATTACTTCTGCTCTGTGTACATTTATCATGTACCAGTAGCAGTGCCATTGATAAACCATAATTAATCCACTTTATTTAACTGTAATGTGACGAAAGTCTCGCATGACGATATTTTTCAGTTTTACCTAAATCTGTCACAGCATATCTAACACTCAACATTTTTTAAATACAAGATGATGTGTTAATAACACACATCAATGTGACATAACTAGTGAATATTGTAAGTTAATGACAATGTCAAGCACTGATAATCATCATAATATTCTGCTCATGTTACCGATCACAAATTAGCACTAGAGCTCAAAACAATTGTGATTTTAAAATGACATTTTGAGGCCTCGTTCCAGCCTCTGAAGCGTAATTGCGGCCCTTATTCGCACATTTACTAAAAAAAAAACTCCAGACAGTATCTTCAAAGAAATTTTCAACCTGCAAATGTTACTGAAACATACATGACATTTACAGGAGCAACATATTCTGAAAATGCCATCTTGGTGTGACATTTTAACACAAATAAAGATTCATAGTCACCTAAGACACTGACGGTTACTGTGTGGTTTACTGCAGAGATTTTCAATTGTGCCATTGAAGCCTGAGATCTGACCTGACCAGTTTAACCAGTTTTTTCTTAAACTGAAAACCTGCAGATTGTTGAAATATGATGTGAGAAGGTTAAATTGAAAATGGATTCTTTTCTCTCTGTTTCAAACCTCTGTCTGGACTAAAATGCAATTTTTCTCGCCAAAAAACTGAGCTTTCCTAAAACTGTCTCCAGAGTGTGTCTGCATCCATCTTAAACACAATGTGCTGGGGGCTGAGCTTTAATAGATTTCATGTCAAATGTAATATTCACAACAAAAAAAAAGGCCCACGTCCTCAATAGAAACGTAAAAAATCTTAGCTCCGAGAAACAAGGAAATAAATCAATATTTCTTACGGCTGCAGGTCAGACATTTGAGTCCAGGTTACTTACAGGCAATTAGTTGTAAAACGCCAGTGAAGGTGAACCTCTGGCCTTTGGGCAGGGTGAACAGCTGAGCCACAAACACAAACAAGGCCAGGATGGCAAAAATACAGGCCAGCACTGAGGTGGCCTGCACCGTCTGGAGATATTCTGCAGCAGCGGAACAACAAAACACACAGACAGTCAGTGAAGGGTCAACATTAACACAGATATAATACAATGTTCACCATGAAGCAATGCTAAAGTTTTATATCTACATTATAACTGCTCTATTAATACTATTAACGTTCGTAAAATTATCAATAATAACAAATTGTAGAATCATACCAACAGTTTCAGTTGCACCAGTTACTACACTTAACTATACCAGTTACAGTTTCAGTCACACCCCTGATCAAAATCCTTACGGTTTCTACATCATTAACATCTGGACTCCCTTGTCAGATCAAGTAAACATATGAGTTCTATTGTGACAAAAGTAAGAGTTTACCCTGTGGGTAGTCTTTCAGGTTGGTGTAATGCCAGACTGAGCTGGTTTTCAACTCCCACTTGCCCCACAATCCAGCTGACATTGAGTCATTGATCACCCAGGCCTGAAGACAAAGAGAAAGAATAAACACAGATGCTGAGGATATCAACGCACATACAAAAGCTGAGTCACATTTACTAAAAAAATATATTCAGTGATAAGGTTTTGTAGATTTAGTGTGTCATCAAGCCTTTAAAGTTTTTGTCATGCCCCACATGTATGCATGTTGACAAACCGATTTAGTGTCCCCTCATAATGTAACAGTTTTTAAACTATATATACTGTAAGGGTTGGTGAACATGTGGGTGTAGAGATATGTACATTTTCAGCACTGTGGGTGGCAAAATACCCACCCCCTAAATTATATTCTGACATTTGACTCCTTGGTATTTCCAAGTGATGTAATAACACGTGCTGGGCCGAGCTTCCATACATAAATATATATTGCTTGATGTGTTTGCATTTACTCTGAAAACAAGAGTGTGGGAACCTATAATTGGCGTTTATAAACTCATTGGAAACCGGCTGCGCTTCCTCTCAGCCCGGCCGTTTGGTAAATGAGAAAAGAAGAGAAAACTAATATGTACTTACATTATCAATGGTGGCCACCAGAAGCAGGATGATGGTGGTAATGTGCAGAACAACGATTCCAGCCAGCATCAACATTGTGGCCTTCTGAAAACTGATAACAGGGGAAAGGCGGAAGGATGCGCACTATTATTTATTTTCCATGCACGAGCTTATGTAACAAAGGCTTGTACACGAGGAAGCATCAATTCTCTCTCTCTCTCTCTCTCTCACACACACACACACACACACACACACACACACATCTGTCCCAGATAAACATTGTCTCAAAAAGAAAGAAAAAAGACTGAGAAAGGAAAGCAGTTGCATTCAAGTCCACACTCGCCCCAGAAACACTCGCGGACACGTTTCTGAATAACACACATCTGATGACAAACACAACACAAGTTCCTGCTCAGATATTCATGCTTTCACCCTTAAAACCTTTACTCTTTAAAACTGATTTTCTATAATTAGGCAGCTCCAATGAATTGTCACCCATTAGCAGCGCCCACAAATTCTTCTCCCTTTGCTTAACGACTCGATTTTCACGGCTTTAGACTGCTTCCGTCGACATAGAAAGGCGCGTTTGTTTAGACGGTGTTAGGGTGCCGCTCCGTCACACACAGGCCCTGTACTATGGTCAACAACTTTGAAAAGAGCGCGAGAATACGACGACAGAAAATCACAGTAAACACACCTCCAACTTATACACCGATATAATATAAACGCTGGTGACTATTCGCCTCTGTGTGAATCTACAGTTTGGAGTCATGCGTTCTTTAAACACTCAGTCATATCCGTACAACCCTTCAAAGCGCTGCTGAAAGTCTAAACTACGCATAAGTTCACTTTCCTAGACTCTACAGAACAAAAATAAAACACATAAGTCATGCGCAATAGCTTTTTTTTATATAGTGAATTGTCCATAAGACATAACTTTACAAAATGTAAACAACGTGAATAAACGTTACCTGAAAGCGCTTAAACGCACGGCCCGGGAGTTATTTGGGAATGTTAAACACTGTAGACCCACCCAGCTTTGAATTCACAGCACACACATCACCCTGTTTTCCCTCTCCGTTCCCTCTCTTTCCCCTTACAAAGCCCCACCCATAAAGTTTTTATTTTTTTTTTTTCTTCAGTGAAACGTCCAGACGAACCAAACGCCGCCCCCCCCCCCCCCCCCCCCCACCCCTCCCGCCCTTTAGTCAGACCCCCAGAGTTACCTTTCTTGCAGTGAGCCACAAAAGCACACATATCTCTCTCCGTCCAATTTTAAACGAAATGAAATTCCTGTGGCCCTGTTGCTCTCAGTCTAACAGTGAGATGAAGCAGTGAAAATACCCTGTCATAATTTATTTTATAAGGCAAACACTTCACAGTGGAGGCGACACGTTTACCAGGATTTTGCATCTGGTGCCAATGTTTTTTATACAGACATTACACCAGCGTGTGTGTGTGTGTGTGTAGATCCAACAAACGCCACAGAGATGAAAAATAAAAGACAATATTTATTTTCCATGCACGAGCTTATGTAACAAAGGCTTGTACACGAGGAGCATCAATTCTCTCTCTCTCTCTCTCTCTCAACACAACACACACACACACACACACACACACACAATCTGTCCCAGAATAAACATTGTCTCAAAAAGAAAGAAAAAAGACTGAGAAAGGAAAGCAGTTGCATTCAAGTCCACACTCGCCCCAGAAACACTCGCGGACACGTTTCTGAATAACACACATCTGATGACAAACACAACACAAGTTCCTGCTCAGATATTCATGCTTTCACCCTTAAAACCTTTACTCTTTAAAACTGATTTTCTATAATTAGGCAGCTCCAATGAATTGTCACCCATTAGCAGCGCCCACAAATTCTTCTCCCTTTGCTTAACGACTCGATTTTCACGGCTTTAGACTGCTTCCGTCGACATAGAAAGGCGCGTTTTGTTTAGACGGTGTTAGGGTGGCCGCTCCGTCACACACAGGCCCTGTATCTAGGTCAACAACTTTTGAAAAGAGCGCGAGAATACGACGACAGAAAATCACAGATAAACACACCTCCAACTTATACACCGATATAATATAAACGCTGGTGACTATTCGCCTCTGTGTGAATCTACAGTTTGGAGTCATGCGTTCTTTAAACACTCAGTCATATCTCCGTACAACCCTCAAAGCGCTGCTGAAAGTCTAAACTACGCATAAGTTCACTTTCCTAGACTCTACAGAACAAAAATAAAACACATAAGTCATGCGCAATAGCTTTTTTTTATATAGTGAATTGTCCATAAGACATAACTTTACAAAATGTAAAACGTGAATAAACGTTACCTGAAAGCGCTTAAACGCACCGGCCCGGGAGTTATTTGGGAATGTTAAACACTGTAGACCCACCAGCTTTGAATTCACAGCACACACATCACCCTGTTTTCCTCTCCGTTCCCTCTCTTTCCCCTTACAAAGCCCCACCCATAAAGTTTTTATTTTTTTTTTTCTTAAGTGAAACGTCCAG